TGGGGGCGGCGGGGCGGTTTTCCCGGGGCTCGGGTCTCTCGGGAGCCGCGGGCTCGGCGCGGGGTCCGCAGCAGGCCTCTGCCAGCCTGTGCGGCACCCGCGCTGCCTGTACCAGGAGGCCACTGCAGCAGACAAGGAAGTGCTCGCATGCAGATGAGCAGATTAAATCTACCACACTTTTATGTTTCCATTTGCTTATCCTTTGTAAAAGCCCCGCTAGAGCCCAGGGTAGCAGCTAGAGCGACGCGGGGAGCCTCAGCGCCAGCGCCAAGCTTGGGTGACTCCTACACGGGTTTGAGGGCACCGGCTTGCTTGGGAAGAGGGATGCTGTTCGGCACGGCCCAAAGGCAATTTGCTTTCCAGACAGATCTGATATCATTAAGTTGCTGCACCAAATGAACTTTCTGCCATGGGCTAATTAGCCACTTCAAAGTCACTCCTGGCTCTGCTGCAGCCACTTGCTGCGCCCCAGAGCCTGGAAAGCCCACATCCGTAGGTCCCGCTAGCGCGGGTTTGTACCCCGGGGCCGGCGTAGGGAACAGGGCGTCTCCGAGACTGAGGTTCCCCGGTCTCAGTCCCCGCGCCCGGTGCGCGCTCAGAGAGCTCTGGCGACCGAAGGCCAGCACAGACCGGGTGCAAGAGGACTTCGATGTTAGAGCTAATGGTCAGCTATTGCCAAAACGGACCCTTTCCACACCCCATCCTCCCGACTGGATCTAGGTCCAGTGCTGTGGGATCCGGCGGGCTGAAATGCCAGCGCCAGCAGGGCCGGCAGCGCAGAGCCGTGCCGAGAGCAGGGCCGGCTCTTCTCCCCCCTTCTCCCCCCTCTGCCGTTGCTTAAAAAGGGAGTGAGAACGGGCCAGAAGCTCAGACAGAGCTGAGCAGACAGGAAGAGGACCAGAGCACCCGTTTCCCTCCCGCCGGCACCCAAACGTCCCCAGGGGCCGGAGAAAGCCGGCCTCCGGCAGGCTGCCGCTCACGGTCGACGCTGGTCCGACGTCGGTCCTTTGGATTTGCTAAATAAAATCCTTCGGATTTGCTAAATTGGGGTTTCTCCTGGGCTGGCGTGGGTTTTAACCCTTGATTTGCCTGCGGGGTGAAGCCACTCTGTGGTTTGGCTTTGCCACCCAAAGCAGTGAAAGGCAGGAGGACGCGCAGCCAGGAACTGCTGTTATTGGGAAACTGTGGGATTGCCAGACTGGGCCCGTCCGACGGCGCGCTCCAAGCGGCGACGCAGCTCTTTAGGTGCCATTGCCATGGCCAAAACTTGCTGATTTTTGCAAGGGGGAAAAATACAGATACTGTGATGCCGACACGTGCCCTTGAATCTTCTGGCTTTACTGAGATGCTCGTGTCAAAACAAACAGTAAAGAAACACTTGGAGCTTTGAATTTTGATGTCTTGCAACCAAATTCTTTGAATTTCTTGGTCCAAAGCAACTTCTCCTCTGTAAACCACTCTT